AGTGATGCACAGAGAGCTAGAGTGGCAACTGGGTGCCTGATTCTAGGTTTTGGTTCAGCCTCCCCCCAACCCCGTGGATTCTGTGATTGCCTTAAACTCTACTTTTTGGACTAAGCTGGTTCCAATGGGTTTTCAAATTAGCCCAGGAGCTACTCTAGAAGCCAGGTCCATGGCCCCCTTCTAAAGGCAGCATCTGCCTGGGAGCCTGCGCCCATCAGCGGCCATGATTTGGGTCATGTGATCACATTACCATGCCAACAATGGTTGGGCTACTAATCTGGGCCCTGGGACCTGGCATAGCAACAGTCCCTCTGGGGGAGGGAAATGAAATACGGTGTCTTGGCCCCTGGCTTCCTGAAGACAAAGGAATGGGGCTCCAGGATGTGCCAGTGTGTCGGGTGGCAGAAAGCAGCCACTTCCCAACTGAGAGGAGCAAGAACTGTGAGGGACTGGAGGGGCATCACTAGGAGAACCCAGGAGGGGGCCAGGCTCAGCTCTGGGAGCCTCAGTTTCCTCACCTGTCAAATGGGACCACTAACAGTTCTCATCTCTGTTGACTGAAGATTAAATGAAGTCATGTAATAAAGTGCTTGGCATAGGATCTGGAACATGGTAAGTGCTCAATAAGTAGTAGTTTTTTTTTTTGTTTTTGCGGTACGCAGGCCTCTCACTGCTGTGGCCCCTTCCGCCGCGGAGCACAGGCTCCGGACGCGCAGGCTCAGCGGCCATGGCTCACAGGCCCAGCCGCCCCGCGGCATGTGGGATCTTCCCGGACTGGGGCACGAACCCGTGTCCCCTGCATCGGCAGGCGGATTCCCAACCACTGCGCCACCAGGGAAGCCCAATAAGTAGTAGTTTTAACATTACTATTATAGTAGATACTCAGGAAATATTGTTGAAAGAGAAAAAAAAATGATGCCCTAACATTAGCCTTGCTATAGCTTGGAGTCCAAAGACATGGAGTGCTGTGTGCTGGCCTGGGAGGGAAGCAGTCAGTAACCCCCAACCGTCATGGGCAGGCTCTGGTCAAGGGCAGCACGATGACTCCTTGTACTCTCTCCCTGTGAACAGCAGGTGACCTTCACCACCATGATGGGCTCCCAGAGGAGCTGTTGGACTGTCTTGGGTTGTACAGCCCAAGAGAAGCACCCCTTGACATCTCCACTCAGTGAGTGACCATCACTCAGAGAGATGGTCTCCCTACAGTGTTCTCAGTAAAAGGCACCTCCATTCAGTACAAAGGTTGGGCATGTTCGGCAGAGCCTCTTCTTCCCTCACTCATTATCTATCACAGGTCCCATGATTTTACCCCTGAAAAGCTCTCAGCTCTGCACACCTGTTTCTGCTTCCATCCCCCTACATTGGTCAGGTCAGTTGCTGTAACAAACAGCCCAGATTTCATGGCTTAGCGTGGTCCGATGATGGGGGCTCTGCTCCACACAGCCATTCAGCAGCCCAGGCTCCTTCCCGCTCGTGGTTCTGTCATCCCCTGGACCTTGGAGTCCTTCCCAGATCCTTGGCACGAGGTGTGAAGCAAAGGGAAACAATCTGAAGGATTGTATGGGAGGGTTTTATGACCGGGTGGGAAGTGGCCTACATCTCTTCCTACCACATTCTACTGACTACAAGTAAATCACATGGTCCCTCTGGACTGCAAAGGGTGCTGGGAAGTGTAGTCCAGCTGAGTGCCCGGGAGGAACAGGAAGTAAGGTGAACACATAACCTTGACTCTCCAGAAACATGCTTATCCACACCCTCTCATCTCTTGCCTGGGCTCCCTGCATCCATGTTGGTCCCCTCCAGGCTCTTCACAGAGCGGCAGGAAGGATCTTTTCCAAGGCCAGATCTGATCATATCATTTGTTGGCTTCAAACCCTCCAGTGATTTCCCATTGCTATCAGGATAAAGGCCAACACCCTTTCCTGCAAAATCATGTACAGATTGGACTGGCTGTTGCTGTCTTCTCACGTGGGGCTCCCCACACTCCGTTTCTCATAAATAAAAATCTCTGATTTTTCAACTTGGGAAATTAAGTGATTTTCTAATTCAAGTTTTGCTAATTCAGTAGAAATAAATGGTCTTTATTTTTTCTAATTAAGCTGAGGATCTTTTTTTTTTAATTTTAGAGTTATGGGAAAGAATAGAATATGTTTGGGATTTTTTAGGAGCTCAAATTCTGGGCTTGTTTCATCTTTCTCAGGTCAGGTAGTGTTGAACTAACTGTCTTTCTGAATCCTTCAGCGAACAGAGAGAACAGACTATCACCAGGCCCTGCTGCCCAAGGTCCGTTGGAATCTAACTGTAACCATCTTCGCAGCTGCAGGGGCTGGTGGGCTGGTAAACTGGCTCCCTGGAAGGAAGAAAGCTCTGACCTGCAGTGTTTGCCAATTTCCGTGGTGCAAAGACGTCCACTGGTGGATTCCAAGCTACTGGGTGACATCACTGAATACAGAGTTGGAAAGAGACATGCACATGGACTCTCATGAGCTAGTAAGATCAGGCTCTGCCACGGGTTCCGACCCAGAGACAATTCCCCAAACATGCTGTGTGTGGTCTCACCTCCAGACCTTTCCTGATGCCATCCCCTCTCCCTGGCATATCCATTCATTCATTTATTCAACAGGTATCTACTGAGTGCTTTCTGTAAATCAGGCACCAGGCCTGCACCAAGAAATCTTCTCACTAAAGGCTGAGCTCAGGACTTTAGTAGGTGCTAGAGAAATTCTATTGTGCCGATGAGGTAACTGAGGCTGGATGACATGATGTATCAATCTGGATCACTGAGTTGGAGGGTGGAGAAGCAAGGACTCAAACTTTGCCAGTGTGAATCCAGCCCAGTGCTTAAGCATGCTAGTCTGCTCTTTCTCTGCCTAACAAACTCCTGTTCACCCCTCAAAGCCCTGCACAAGTGTTACCACCTTTCTGAAGCCCTCCCTAGCCCCTGATGGACTTCTTATGTCAAAGCAGATTTAGGCATGATGTGATAGAGAAATAAGTGGGGATGGAAGGGAGATTTGCTAGGGACTGAGGAGAGAGGACGTAGAGGGAAAGACCAGGAGATGATGGAGGGAGAAAGCAAGGAGCAAGCAAGAAAAACAAGCAGCAAATGAGATGTCACATGGCTGCCGAAGATGTTAAGTACACCAGAAATTGAGTCATGGGTCTTCATCAGCCTTGTGAAACATGCTGCCCAGGAGTCACAGACTCAAGTTGCTACAGGGGCCTTGCAGAGGACAAGAATAAGTAAGACCGACCAGATTTACAAGGCATAAGGAGTAGTGGAGACGGTGCGCCGTCCAAAGGGGGCAGCCGTTGCTCAGGTCCAGCTGCCTGTGGCTAGAAAAGCCCATTTCCACCCCTTCCCCACCACCCCCCACCCCAATCTCAGCCGTCTCAGCCAGTCTGTTTGTTGATTTCCTGAATCAGGTTGCATGGGGAGTGCAGCCAGCAGTCTGATGGGGCTGGAGGTGAGACAAGCAAGGGATCCAGGGCAGAAATTTAAAGAGGCACCCACCACCCCCTCTCTGATTCTTTGGGGAAATTCAGAGAAATCCAGGGTGCTTTTCTGTGCAAGTCCAATCAGAGAACCAGAAGGCAACACCTTCCATCTACACACACCACACACACACAGACACACACAGACACACGTTAGGAGAACCACTGACCAAAACCACCCACCCTGACCAGGCACGATAGTAACCACTTGCATGAGTTATCTTACAACTGGAAGTCCTGGTAAGGAATGCTGAACTAACAAGCTACCACCAACCAGAAGAATTTGGGAAAGGTCAAAAGAAGAGAGGAGACGTAAGTCCATATGTCCTACCAACCAACCTCCCAGAGTCCTTCGCGCTGGAATCCACCTTGGCTGAGTGATGCGTGTGCCACCAGCAAGGACCCTGAGTCAGAATGATTGGTCAGAGACAACCCGGAAACTAACCATTACCATGAAAACTGACGGCAAGCCACGTGGCAGGGCAGTTCTCCTGGATTCCCTTACCCTGCTGCTCTCCACCCGGGCGCCCCTTCCCCATAAAGTCTCTTGCTTTGTCAGCACGTGTGTCTCCTTGGACAATTCATTTCCGAGTGATAGACAAGACCCCACTCTAAAAAAAAAAAAAAAAGACCCCACTCTAGGGCCCTGGAAAGGGTCCCCTTTCCTGCAACACACACACAAACACATTTTTTGACCTATGAGAAAACTGAGGCCCAGAGAGAGAAACGCCTTTGTCTTTGCTGTTCCCCCTGTCTGGAATGTTCTTCCAGCCTCATTGCCTAGCTTGCTCCCTCTCACCACTTGGCATCACCCCCTCCATGACTGCCCTGCCCACACAGTGCTCAGTACCTCGGGCAGCGAGGGAGAGTCAGGACTGGAGATTGCATTGGCTCTTTGCTTCCTGGCTGTGTGGCATTAGACAGGCTGCTCTAGCTGCTCTGGACCTTGTTTCCACTTCTGCACCTTGGGTTTAAGACATTCCTTTTTTTTTTTTTTTTTTTTTGCCACTTGGCTTGTGGGATCTTAGTTCCCCGACCAGGGATTGAACCTGTGCCCCCAAGAGTGGAAGTGCAGAGTCCTAACCACTGGACCGCCAGGGAATTCCCACTAAGACCTTCTTTAAGAACACTCATCAAGATGCAATGAGATGCTTGCACAGCACTTAGCACAGTGCCTGGCCCAGACTGGATGCTGGACACACGTTGGTTAAAATGAAACTCTGAGAAGTGGTGGGCATTAAGGTCAGCCAGGTAATTAGGCTGGACTGTAGTCAACTTGGAGCGCCCAGCAGAGAGTGGGTGGGCAATGGGGAGTCATTGACAGTTCTTGAGCAGGGGAGTGACTGGTTGGCAGGGGAGTGTCATGAAGCTTATTCTGGCACAACTGTGCTGTTTATCAGTGTTTGGGTGAGGACCTTGGCTCCAGTGGAGATGTGAGCTGCCCACGAAAGGGGCCCTGTTAAGCCCTGGAACAAAGGCTTTTCAGCAGCCTTTGTGGAGCCAGATTCCTGCTGTCCAAACCACCCAACTTCCTGCTCCCAACCTGCTGGGAGCTGCGGGAGGCGCCTTTATCCTCCGGTAATGAGCCAGGGAAGAGATGCTAATTCATCTGCACTCCCTGGGCCACTCCCTAGCCCCATGTCCACCCAGAAACCTCTGCCAAAGGTCCCCCGCACAGGCTAATAGGATTGGTTCTGAGTTTAGCTAGGCAAACAAGGCCCGAAAGGGCCCATTTTGATGGTTAAACGTGCCATTAACCCTTTGTTTGCACTTCAAGTTCCAACAAGCTTTAGATAGTCAATCTGACATTAACCCTTCATCTTCGGGTAAGGTTTCACAACCACCTGTGGGCACCTGACAGCTATCAAAGGACAGAAATTAGCTAGATCTCCAAGTGTAAAATCCCAAAGTCTCAGTCTTATCTAGCCCCTCCCTTTGTTGCTAGCAAACTGCCACCTAGCAAAGATAAGGAACACTTTCAAGGTCACCTGGCTAATTTAGGGTCAGGGTTGGGATACAGCTGACTTACTCGATTGTCAACTTTTAAGGCACACTGTACAATAAAATTGATTTGCAATAAAACCTTTGTAGAACTGGCAAACAAACGGGCGCAAAGTCAACGAGGCTTGTTTTCAAAGCCTATCTTTGAGTCAGCAAGATTAAAAAAAAAAAGGCTCTTTATACCATGATACCAAGTTCATAATTCAGAAAGATTATTTTTATTAATCTGGCTGGTTTTAAAGTTGAAGACTTCCATCTTCTTTAAAGTTACTATTTTTAAGAGAATAATTGAGCTTTGTTCTTAACATTTATGGCAACGGTTTGGCAAAGGATCTACAGTTTCTGTAGGTGGGCTGAAACAGCTACTCGAGGTCACCAACTGGCTGATGACTTAGCAGTTACCATCCAGCATGTCTTCCCGCCGACCCTGCGGGGCTCAAGACACACAAGTTCAAGGGAAGAAACGGGTCCAGGGCAAGCTCTGCCCATCTCCCCACTGGGCACATGTCTGTGCTTTTCATGAGTCTTTGTGGGGCAGGAGAGTGAATAAGACTCAGCCCCAATATCAAGAAACTCAGGACCATCTCCTTATTCAAACCAAACGAAGCTCACATTCTAGGTCCCAGCATGTCTACCTCTGGGCCTTCTGGTCTACCCCCCAGAAAATTTTGCATGGGTGCACAAGCAAGTTCAGGGTGGCATACTTGCAGTGACAAAGATCAAGAGCAGCCTAAATGACCTTCAAATGGCTTAATAACAAAGGGTATGTCCAAACAATTCAGCGAGGCAGGCGCGTGCAGGACTTCCCTGGTGACGCAGCGATTAAGAATCCGCCTGCCAATGCAGGGGACACGAGTTCGAGCCCTGGTCCAGGAAAATCCCACATGCTGTGGAGCAACTAAGCCCATGCGCCGCAATTACTGAGCCTGCGCTCTACAGCCCGCAAGCCACAACTACTGAGCCTGCATGCCACAACTACTGAAGCCCGCGCGCCTAGAGCTCGTGCTCTGCAACAAGAGAAGCCACCACAATGAGAAGCCCGTGCACTGCAACGAAGAGTAGCCCCCACTCGCCGCAACTAGAGAAAGCTCGTGCGCAGCAATGAAGACCCAATGAAGCCAAAAATAAATAAATGAAATAAATAAATAAACAAAAAGAATGGAGTGCAGTCCTGCACACCAATGCAGAAGGATCCAGAGGTATTGGCAGGCGAGAAGAACAAGAGATAGAACCATTGGGGGCATTCATGCCAGAGAAAATAAGCGTTCACTTACCTGAGTGTGTATGTGTAGAAAATATCTCTGGGAGGACAGGAACGAAACAAACGGGTGGTCTCCGGGGAGGGAGAGTCCACCTAGGGAGAGAAAGAGTCTGGCTTTTAGTTGTAAACATATTTTTTGCCGCTGGTAGTTTTGTTCACCATGTGCAGGCCTTGTCTTTTAACTAAAAAAGTTACTTATCCAAGAGAATCGAAAATATATGTCAGTGCAAAAACTTGTGCACAAATGTTCACAGCAGCATTAGTCATTATTTTGTCTAGCATTAGACAAAATGTGGAAACATCCCAAATGCCCATCAACATGAATGCATAAAGAATGGATGGATAAAGAAAATGTGGTCTATCCCTGCAATGGAATATTTTTCAGCCATAAAAAGGAATGAAGCACTGATATAGGCTCAACATGGGTGAACCTTGGAAACATTATGCTAAGTGAAAGAAGTCAGACATTAAATGCCATATATTGTATGAAATAACCAGAATAGACAAATCCATAGATAGAGAAAGCAGATTAGTGGTTGCCGGGGGAAAGGGAAATGGGGAGCGACTGCTAATAGATATTGGGTTTCTTTTGGGGGTGACGAAATGTTCTAAAGTTATATAGTGGTAATTGTTGCATAACTCTGTGAATATGCTAAAAACCATTGGACTGTATATCTTTAAAATTTTTTATTTTTATTTATTTATTTTGGGGGCCACAATGTGTGGCTTGCAGGATCTTAGTTCCCCGACCAGGGATCGAACCAGGGCCCCTGCAGTGGAAGCACGGAGTCCTAACCACTGAACCCCCAGGGAATTCCTGAAGTGTATACTTTAAAAGGGCAAATTTTATAATATATGAATTGCATCTCAATATAACAGTTGTTTAAAAGAGTAGTTACTATACCTAATAGTTTCCTAAGCCTGCCGTAACAAAGTACTAAAAACTGGGTGGGTTAAAACAACAGAAAGGTATCATCTCATAGTTCTGGAGGCTAGAACTCCCAGATCAGGGTGTCAGCAGGGCCCTAGGGGAGAATCCTTCCTGCCTCTTCCCAGCTTCTGGTGTTTGTCAGCAAACCTTGCTGTCTCTTGGCTTATAGATGCATCACTCCAATCACACGGCCCTCTTCCCCTGTGTGGCTTAATATCACCTTCCCTTTGTACGTGTCTGTGTCCAAATTTCCCCTTTTTATAAGGACACAGTCATATTGGATCAGGGGCCAGCTGCATTAACTCATCTTAACCTAGTTAAATCTTCAAAGACTCTAGTTCCAAACAAGGTCACATTCACAGGTACTTGAGGTTAAGACCTCAATGCATTTTTGTGGTGGATACAATCTAACCCATAACACTAAGTCTGTAAATGCTTTTGATAAGGAGACTGTATCTGCCCAGCAGAGGAGAGAGGCCACATGCCAAGGAAGGTGCCCGCGACAGTGTGATACGTTCAGGAGAGGGACTTCGGGCTGTGAAAGTTCAGGATAAAGGAGACCTTTGCTGGGGGAAGCAGGGATGACTTCCTGGAGGAGGCATTAGAGTTGGGCCTCTTGTCAGGTGACTATAGAATCTGTTGTCTGAATCAGGATATTTTGGGGCTTCCCTGGTGGCACAGTGGTTAAGAATCCACCTGCCAATGCAGGGGACACCGGTTCAAGCCCTGGTCCGGGAAGATCCCACATGCTGCGGAGCAACTACGCCCGTGCGCCACAACTACTGAGCCTGCGGTCTACAACCCGCAAGCCACAACTACTGAGCCCGTGTGCCACAACTAGTGAGCCTGCGCTCTAGAACCCGTGAGCCACAACTACTGAAGCCCGCGCACCTACAGCCCATGCTCCGCAGCAAGAGAAGCCACCGCAATGAGAAGCCCGCGCACCACAGTGAAGAGTAGCCCCCACTCGCCGCAAGCAGAGAAAAGCCTGCGTACAGCAGCGAAGACCCAACGCAGCCAGAAACAATAAGTAAATAAAATAAAATAAATAAATAAAGCAGGATATTTTTGAGTCTATAGGGGATGTTATTAATAATCACATTAGGACAACAGGTGTAAACCAGGACTGTGGTAGGTCAGTCAGATTCCATGGTCACCTTGGTCTTAAGAGATGGTGAGAATTTGAATATGCAAGGATGGGAGGAGTGGTGGTAAGAGTATATCAGATGGAGGGAAGAGCAGCTGCGGAGGCTCAGAGGTGGGAAACTACCAGATAATGCAGGGAAGGGCTGAGTCTGAAGACACGGAGTCTTGGGAGGCTGGGAAGAGCCTCAAATGACAGTCCGAGTTGTTAGGAGTCCTCAGCCAAAGTCCAGTGAGACTGGACCCCTGTGGTCAAATCAGGGGTCTTCTGGAGGAGGGGGCTGCACAGACCATGTGCTTCTGGAGGGAAGCACAGACCATGCAAACCCAAACCACGAAACCAACTACCGACAGTCGCTTTGCCCATCAGCCTGGAGCATGAACCAGCTCAGCTTAGGAGGCCAGACACCCCACCAATTCATCTGCTGAGGTGCGCCTGCACCCCTGGGAAAGTAGGCCTTTCTTCACTCCATTGCTCAGCTCTGATTAGAATCTGGAAGCCAATGCAGGTGTCAGTTTGGTTGCTGAAACCTCTGGCACTTTTTTTTTTTTTTGCTTATCGTTACTTTTGGAAAGATGTGTTGAAGATATCAACTTCCGAATCAAGTAAAAGCTGGTTTTTAGTTACTTAATCCCTTGGAAAAATATTGATCATCATTTGTTTTTCTTGTTAAAAAACATTTTAAAGAAGGGTGTACAGGGCTTCCCTGGTGGCTCAGTGGTTAAGAATCCGCTTAACCACTGAGGGGGACGCGGGTTCGAGCCCTGGTCTGCGAAGATCCCACATGCCGCGGAGCAACTAAGCCCGTGTGCCACAACTACTGAGCCCCTGTGCCACAACTACTAAGGCCACACGCCTAGAGCCTGTGCTCCGCAACAAGAGAAGCCACCGCAATGAGAAGCCTGTGCACCACAACGAAGAGCAGCCCCCGCTCACCACAACTAGAGAAAGCCGCACGCAGCAACAAAGACCCAACACAGCCAAAAATAAATAATAAATAGACAAATAAATTTATTTAAAAAGAAAGGTGTACATTTGTGGGGGAGGGAGTAGGAGAAGCATTTACAGCAAAACGCTGAGGTCTGAGTACCAGAGGAATATGATGTTTAAGCCTTTACAAGCCGCTGGGGGCTGCATGCTCTCCTCCAGGTGCTCCAGGCTCCCTGGGATGGGACCCCCCTCCTTTGCAGCCCCCTCTCCCTGCTCCCTGTCTCTCAGAGCAGCTCCACCCCAGCAGCCCTCCCAGCTCTTCCCTTCAGCTCTAGGATCGCTCCTCTCCCCCTCTTTGTTGGTTTCCTCTCTGCTCCCCACTTGTCAGGAGCCCTGGGGCTCAGTCCACGGTCCTTTGCTGTTCTCTGTCCACATGCACCTCTCAGTGGCCTCCTGAGTCTACATGGTGATCACCCCAAGTGTGCATCTCCTACCACCCCCCACCCCCGCTCCAGACCTGTGTGTCCAGCTGCCTCCAGGACATCTCCCTGCCTTATCTAGCGGGCATCCCAAACCTTACTTGTCCTCAGTAACCCGACCCCAAATCTACTCTTCCTTCATTTAGGTCAAAATCTTGGAGTCACCTTTGACACCTCTAGTTCCCTCCTGTACCACAGCCAGATCGTATCCAGCATCTGACCACTTCTCTCCTCTTCCCCAGTGACCACCATGTCCAAGCTACCACCATCTCTCCTGGATTATTCCAACAGTCTCTTAACTGGTATGAGACAGAGATTCCAAATATGTGAGATCCAGTTCTCCCTTGAGTATCCATGGAGCTACGTCACCCTCACTATGCCTCTACTGACCTATCCATAAAATGGGAAAGACACGTACTCCGGAAAACCTCTACCCAAAGAAATGTTTTAGGTCATGAAACATTGTTAAATATGGCTTGTATTCAAATAAAAGAAAAGGAGGGACTTCTCTGGTGGTCCAATGGATAAGACTCCGTGTTCCCAATGCAGGGGCCGTGGGTTGCATCCCTGGTCGGGGAACTAGATCCTGCCTGTGTGCCACAACTAAGAGTTTGCATGCCGCAACTAAGAAGTCCGCATGCCGCAACTAAGAAGTCCGCATGCTGCAACTAAAGATCCTGCATGCTGCAAATAAGACCCGGTGCAGCCAAAATAAATAAATAAATAAATACTTTTAAAAAAATAAAAGAAAGGGGGAGAGGGAAAGAGAGAGAGAGAAAGAGATTGAAGAGGGAGAAAGGGAAGGAGACAGGGAGGAAGGAAGGGAGGAAGGAAGGAAGGGAGGAAGGAGGGGAGGCAGGGGAAACTAGAACAAAGCCACTTGTTGGAACTCTGGTTTCCCAAATCCATTGCATTTCTTTCACCATCTCTAGCGTTTGGACAACTCAGAGATCCTTCAATCTGCACACGTGCCCGGGGACTTTGAGAGTCGTGTGGTGCCCTAACTCTGAGAGCTGTCTGAAGAACCCCACCTCTTGCCCCCAGCTCTGCCGCTCCCACCGTAGGCAGTTTTCCAGGTTTAGAGAATGCCTTCTCCCTGTGGACACAGACCACACTCCCTAGGAAGGTGAGGGATCAATTCATCTACGTGGACTCCAGGGAAGAAAGACAGTCCTAGGTACCCCTACGTGAGAAGGTGACCCTTAGGCACCGCCCGACCAAAACCTGAACAACGATGTACCACGTCACACCCCTGCTTGCAACTCTGCCCTGTGGGAAAGCCCACGCTCCTCAGCCGGCCTCCCCAGAAGCCCCTGAGCCTGACCCGGCCAGACTCAGTGTCCCATAGAGTTTGCGGTGTATAAAATGATGCTGGCTCCCATGGAGACACTGGATCCCACAGCCCGACTCCCCCAGAATGCCAGACCTCAGCAAGGCTAAGTCTCTATTTGGTCTGCTGTGTCTCTAACCCCTCTCGGACAATCGTGGAACTATTTCAGTGTAGGAGAGGGCAGGTCTGGCTCGAGCCCCAGCAGGCAGCAGCCTCCAGCTGGAAGGTAGTAGCTTCCCTTTGTCTCAGCATCTTGACTTCCAGTCACCTCTCTTTTTCCAGCAAAGTGATGCTCACTTTCTAGTTGACATAACACCACGATGTTTCCTTCTGAAATAAATTTATGCGTTTAAAAACATAAGTGAGTTCTTGGGAGAAAGTCATGAGGTCAAAACAGTCCAGGTGGCGTGTGGATGAAGTCATGGGGACTCTTGGTGAGACCAGCGTTTGTGGTCCTCAGCATAGACCAGGCTGCGTCCTGCCTCTCTCCCTCTGTCCCTGCTGTGCCTCCGCCTGGACCACCCTTTCTTCCTCTTCCCCTGATCTCTGCTCCTTGTTACTGCTCCAGTGTCTGATCAAGCGTCCCGCTCCAATGGGCCACGCTCGGCCATCCCACGCTCTCCATCATCTCGTCTCTTTATCTTGCTCTATTTTTTTTCTGAACACTTGTCACTTCCTGACATATTACATACTCATGGGTTCATATGCTTGTTTTCTGTCTCATCCATTCAGCATGTAACTTGCAGAGAATGTGTTAGTTTTGCTCATGGCTGTAACCCTGGCCCCTAGAGTAGTGCCTGCTTGTAGTATGTGCTCGATAAAAGGGTGCCAACTGAACAAAAGACCAAGCAGAGCAGGTAGGAAGTGATGAGGGGCAGTGTCCGCTGACCATCTTATAACTCTTCTCCCAAAGACACACTTGGAAAGACCTCTCCTCTCCGGCACACAAATTGAGCAGGCATATGGCTTCCTCTAAGCCTTGAGCCCTACCTTCCCCACCTCACCTCTGCAGAGCCCTGAGGTCCCTGCATTTGGCCCTGCCGTGGGCAGAAGTGGTCGGGCCTGGGGGAATGCAGGCGCTGTGACTTTGCTAAGGATGCTGCCATGAGAGGCGGGGAGGGGTTGGAGTTGAGAGGTCTGAGTCAGATTTCAAGGAGCTCTTATCTGCTTGGTTCCTACCACCATTCCCTACATGGCCAACTCCCAGGAATTTTTTTCTCCAGTGAGGTGACCCCGGGAAAGGCAGGCAGAGCCCGTGGGGAAGTCATGATGATGACGATGATGAAGGAGGAGGAGGAATTATGTCTAGACGGCACTAAACCAGTGTGGTAAAATGTGTGTGGTGAAGTCTCTGTCCTTCAGAATCTCCATCTACCACTAGAGCTGTAGGATAGGGTTGGTCAAGTTGATTTCTAAGGACACTTCCAGTTCTAAATGAGGACAAGGAAGCTGTTAGAAAGACTGAGGCAGAAGAACATGTATGCGAAGAAAAAAAAAGATGAGAGAGAGAGAAATATCATATCTCTAGAAGCACGGACATTCCACAGTTAAATAATGCATCTCTCTCCTAATCCTAAATTCTAGCCCAACCGTAGGCTAATGCTAGAAATTCTACCACTAAAGCCTCAGCCCTCTCCCTCATATACTTTTTCTGAGGGGCAGGGCACTCATTTTTTTTCTCCCGCAGATACTTTTATCCTTAGGAAGGGTATAACTCTAAACCACAGATGAAATAGTTTTCAACTTTGCTGTGTGGAGGATGGCTATCTGGACAACTGTGTTGAAAAGGATCCTGAGGTTGTGTTTAGACTCAATGAGGAAAAATCCTCTAATTGATTAGCAATGTCTGCTGAGGGCAAGGGAAGGAGAAGCAGAGGCACGAACACCACTCATCTGCCCTGCCCAGCTCTGAGTCAGGAGATGGGGGCAGGGAAGTAAGTGAGAAAGTGGAGAAGGGATGTCTTTTTCTCAACCTTCTCTCATGATATATAAATTATTTTATCCTGCTATCCTATACTATTCTTTCTTTTTTTAACCTTCTTGGGGAATTTAAAGTAAATTTTACTTGTAGGTACTTTTGGAAAAAGTAATACATAAATATAAATAAGCTCAGGACTGCTCAAGGTGGACAGTCTAATAGGAGACCCTCACCACAAAAAGCTGGCATCTCCCCTGCCCACAAAGGGCTATACATCAGGGTGAGTATAATGGGAAGGGGACCAGTCCTCCTGAGAGTCTGCAACCTGGCTGCCATCCCCAGCAGATGGCCTCCCAGGTTAACGTGTCCTGTGGAGACCACAGCCAAAACCTATTGGATATTCAGGAGGCTCTGGGGACACATAGCATGGGTGGGGCACACTCCCAGCTGTAACCACCCCAGGCCAGACCACCATGTGAGGGTCCAGGCTCCAGTAACTGAGGACAGGGTGGGAGTCAGGTGACCTGTGGTTGAGTCCCAGCTTTGCCATCAACTTGCTTCTTGACAAACAGGGAGACTGAAGTACAGGAGGAAAGGGCCTATTGTCCTGGGTCACACAGCGAGTTGGGTCCAAATCCTCCCAGTGCCCTCCTCTTAGGTCTTGAAGGTCATATGGATTCTCAGAGTCTCTGAGTGAATGGGAGTGAGGGTCTCTTAGGCTCAGATGGAGACACGTATGAAGAAGAGCACATGTCCCTCTCACCAATCCTCCCTGGTGCACATGGCAGGCATCAGTAATCAATCATGGCAGTGTTTGCCCCTGACTCAGACACAGGCTCACAGTCCTGCTCAGAACAAGCTCTTGGGAGCACCCACCAGACAACGGGCATTGAGACCAACCTGTTTGCTATTCCCGTCTGAGTGGAAGTTGTCCCACAGGAAGGAGGAAAAGAAAACACGTGCTGGGCACTTTCTAAGCGTCAGCCGTTCTACACCAAATAATGCCAACTTTCAAAAATTAATTTTAAGGCAAGGTCGTCAGTCTCATTTTACAGATGAAGAGACAGAAGCACAGGAGCAAAGAAACAACCCAAAGGTCCACCAAGAAGACACTGGGAAAATAAACCATGGCACCTCCACAAAAATGGAATACTCTGTAGCTATGAGAAAGATGAGCTTGATTCAGATACCTGTAGGGGAAGTATCTCCAAGATACATTGTATCGGTGACCTATTACAACAACCAAGCTGCAAAACAGATCCTCCAAAACTCTGTGGCTAAAAACCACTACAAATTTAGCTAATGGTTCTGAGAACCTGAGGGTCAGCAATGAAGGTTGGGCTGCTCTGGGCAGTTCTCTGGGCTCCTACACACACCTGAGGCCAGGTGTGGGTTGGGTGGGCGGCTTTGCTGGTCATGGCTGGGCTCTCCACTCTCTGGGGCCTTGACTGGGGCGACTGAGCTGACACCCCTGCTCACGTGTCTCTCATACTCCGGCAGGCTAGCCCAGGCTTATTCCCACCGTCAGCAAGGCTCCAGAAGAGTTAGCAGAAGCATGCAAAGCTTCTTGAGGCCTAGCTCGGAACTGGCACACCATCTCTTCCACCACATTCTTCTGGCCAATACAAGGCATCTGGGCAAGCCCAGGTTCAAGGCAGCGAGAACTAGACTCTGCCTCTTGATGGGAGGAGCTGCAAAGGCACGAGAGAGTGCACAGAGACAGGCTTGTGTGACGGATTGTGGCCATTTCTGCAACCAACCACATCTATTAAGCCACATAAGCAAGCTGTGAAATCATGTGAAACATTGGTCACCTTCAGGGAGTAGAATCGATAGGGATGGGCAATTCGGATCTTCTCTTGTATTTAGCGTGTGTCCTTTCATGATGTTTTATTTTTGTTTCAAAAATGAAACATTTTGACCTAAAAGAAATAAAGAATTTATCCTTCAGGTGTTTTTTCAGACTCATGAAATGATACATGTGCCGAGAAGAGGGTGCTGGGGGTGTCATCTAACACTGTTTGCTGTACTGAGAGGTCCAAAGCCCCCTAAGTGAACACCAGTGGGTCCTGCTTAAATAGCCATCCAGGGCTCCACATTATGGAGTTCTGTTTACCGTAAAACAAAGAATCAGACAGCCTGGAATGTTCTGCTAAACTGCAGGACGTATGCAGTGAAAACAGTGAGTGTGTGCCCATTCATGTGAAGGGTGTATAAACTCTCCCTGGAAGGTACACAAGACAGCAGCAGTGGCTGCCCACGGGCCAGGGATGGAGAGGGAGCAGCTTGCTCTTCACATCCTTTCAAACCCTTATGATTCTTGTCACATGAATATGGCTCCTCTTCCAAAATAGATAGAAGTTTTAAAATGATTTGTTTTTAAAGCAAATCTAGTGAACTATTACATTTATAATGGATAAACAGCAAGGTCCTACTGTATAGCATAGGGAACTATATCCAATCTCTTGGGATAAACCATAATGGAAAAGAATATTGTAAAAAGAATGTATATACGGGTAAAACTGAGTCACTTTGCTGTACAGCAGAGATTGGCACAGCATTGTAAATCAACTATATGTCTACTAAAAAAAAAAAAAAAAATATATATATATATATATATATAAAAGAGGACTCCAAAAAAACAACAAAAAAGTAAATTTAAGTTTTAGAAAGAAATAATTCTATTTAAAATGCCTGGGGGAAGGGAGACAAAGGATGACATAGATTTTGTTCCAACCACTGACTCACTCTTTGACCCAAGGGTAGGTCATTGGCTATCTCTGAGCATCAGTTTCCACCAGCAACAGAATGGGACAAATCTCCCTGGCTCACTCCCAGGTCACTGTGAGCAGGGCCATTGTGTTAGTCAACTCCGTGGGTGCCATTCACAGCACTGTCCATGTGACTGGGGCCCCTTGGAGTTGTGCAGTTTACAGCATAGGCAACTGGAGGAGGCAGCCTTGATGTGAGGCTGAAATGGGCTAAGGGGTGGGGAGAGAGATCTAGCTCTCTCTAGGGTGAGAAGGGTGTGCATGCTTGAGCGTACAGAATGTGACAGTGCATTCCTCTAAGAGAGTGTGGACTTTCTGCTGACATATGTCCTGTGGACACTGGCTAAATAGATGGGACGATCACTCTGTCCCCTCCCAGGCTCAGGCTCCTGGGTCTTCTAGGAACCATGCCTGAGACAAGCAGGGGCCACACTGAAGGCTGCTGAGGCCTCACACTCCACCTCTGGGGGCCCAGGCGAGCTGTCTCCTCAGGCCCTTCCCATGCTGGCTCGGAGTCTCTATCCCCAGGGTCGGGATGCAAGAGAGGAATTTATCACACACCAAGATGCCTCCCACTTTTCAAACTGAGAAAAGTGTAGCAGAGATGGTAGCCCAGTCAGAGAGCACTGGGCTTGAATCCCAACTCCAACACTATCCTTGGAACCTCTGAGTCTCAGGTAAAGGCCACAGTAGTGGGTGGGGGAAGATATCTGAGTGCAGAGGACCCCAGCCAGCCAGTCCCGGGCCAGTGCCTAAGGGCCCCAGCTGACCCCCAGGCTGATCCTCAACTCGTGTCCCAGCAGCCCAGCACTGTGGGTCAGAGAGAGCCACACAGCTGATATCAGGCACACGGAGGCTGCACAGCATTGCAGGGCCTCACAGCCAGCTTCAGGGTGGGGAGGCAGGAGCCTCCCATCCACCCCCTTCCAGGTGGCAGACAGCGGCCTCAGCCTCTCAGTTGCTGTGTGACTTTGCGTGACACCCCCATCTGTCCCAACAGATCCTGATGATCCAGTTTTCTGACAAGCCCTGGGGGCTCTCTAGGCTAGGACTGGGGCTGAGGGTCTGTGTGGCATGGGAGTGAAGCGGGAGTTTTCAGGTGGGCTGGGGCCAGGACTGGGAGACTTCCGGACGAATGGGCAAGGTGCCAAACCCTCAGAAGTGTAGCAGGCCTCCCTGGGAGCCTCCTAGTCAGGCCTCCACAGTTCATGAAGGGTCGGGCCAGCAGATCCAGGGGACACGGCAAGACTGCCAGGCACCTGGTAGGGAAGGAAGACAGGTGTCTTCAGCAGGCTGACCAGCCTGAATCTACAAGAGAAGGACATTTACAAGAAGTGGCTTTTTTGGGCTCCTTCATCTGAGCCCAGAGGCAGGAAGCAGGTTCAGGACACCATGCAAGTGGTGGGGGGCTGGTCCTGAGCCCCACTTACAGTCCTCTTGTCCGCTGCCAGCTGTGAGCCCTTGGGCAAAGCAGCCACTTCCTTGGCGTAGCCTTGGAGCCAGAATGATCACCCTGTGGTCACAGACCATAACTGTCCTACCATATTTAGGGACAGGGATGGGTGAGGAGATGCCTCATCACAGGTGAGAGACCCCTTCAGGAATGGCCAGTAGCAATCATGTCTGGGAGTTCGTTCAGACAGTCATGGGTTCGCGTCCCGTCTCTGCCACTTGACCAGCTTGTGTCTTCACGGGCAAGTGACTTCACACCACTGAGGCTCAGTCTTCATCTGTGAAATGGGGATGATATAAATACCCTCCACAGAAGGGATGCAGGGCTTTAGCATGATCCTGCATGTGGATTGCTTATGCAGAGCAAGCCCTCAGTAAGCCATAGCCCCATCAGGATCACTGCTAGCCATTGCTTCATGATTATGAGCAGTAATAGTAATCATCACATGAGCCCCTTGCTCGGCCTTCATTCCCTCATCTGTAAAATGGGGACAGTAAAAGGGCTGACATCACAGGGTTGCTGGGGGGATTCTATGAGTAGAGTGTTTGAAAGGGTGCCTGGCACAGAGTGAGCACTCAGTAAATGTCTGGCATTTTTACTATTACTGTTTCACCATCGCTGTTGTTGTTGTCATCTTCTTAGCCCCGGAAAAGCCCAATAAGCCACCACAGTCTCCTCCAGGAAGGACGCACTCATGCGCTTACACTGGGAAAGGGAGGTTCAGGGAAGAGAGGTCCCTTGACCAGGTCAAGCTTCCCCTCCTCCAGCCCAGTTGCGCATCTGCAAGCATCTGCTCCTGCCCAGGAGCTGGCAGCGGCCGGGAGCGGGGAGGCAGGGGCTGGGAGCACGCGGGGCCGCACGTGGCCGCCCGCGCCCGGCCGTCTGCGCGGGGAGGGTCTGGCCGGCCGCGGCCGCCGCTGGAGCCGGGCCTGGGACGCCTCTGGGCGGTCTCGGCCGGCCCCGCGTTAGCGTCGGCCCGGTGGGCGCTAGGGGACAGCAGCGCGGGGGAGCGAATCCCCGCCTCCCCGCTCGCCAGAGCGGCGGTTCTCCTTCCACCTACAGCCACCTTCCCAGAACCCCGACTCCCCAGGTCATAGCGTCCCGGGGAAACGCGAAATCGTCCTCGATGTCTTCTCTTTTTTCTGTCATCCCCAACATCGTCAGTTACTCCCGTTGACTCTCTTCAGAACCGAGTCCAAATCCAGCCGCTCCTCCACACCCCCGTGGACTCTGCGTGTCCAGCCACCATCCTCTCTCCCCTGGACTATTGCAGTATTGTCCCCGCTCTCACGCGTGTCCCGCTACGCGGCTGGCACTGCCACAGCTGCCGGTGTTTTTTGTTGTAAGCTACCTTACAACAGAAAAAGGGCAGAAAAAGAGTGCGGATTGTTTGAGCTTGTATTTGCGTAAGGAAGCCACCCTGTCCTGGTAGCGACATGATGGAGACAGTTTAGAGGTGGAGCCCACAGCCTATAGCGTTTGGGGGCCCCTTTAAGAAAAAGAATAGAAAATTAGGTACAATAGGTGAGATTTAGAATGAGAAAAGTAATCATAGAAAACTGGAAATTTTGGAAAGCTGGCAAACGCCACAAACATCACAAAACCCAGAAAAATAACACAATATTTGTATTAATTAACTACCTGAGATGCCTTTATAATCCTTTCCCCCCAGCATTTCATTGATCACCTTTATATGATGACACTTTCGTCATATTATCTATAAGGAATTAAAAGATAACCCAGCCTTTTCTCTAATGATGAGCCCTGTTGAATTGTTTTTATTACTACAGACTGTTCAGGAACATTTCTTTTAGTTTCACAACGTGTACTTGTGTTTTATATAAACACATAGATTTTAGCACCAATGTCAGATTTAGAAAAACGCCCATCAGGTTCATATATGACCTGTTACAGACTGCTTGGTCGTAGCACAGCTATAAGTTTGTGCCCTAAAAACACAGAAATTCTGATAAATTGCATTTCGTGTGGTCATCCCAAAAGAGGGAAAAAAATGTACTGTGTTTTAATTGTATATGCTGCTTTATCCAGTCTATTCCTGCAGGAGAAAACTTTGGTTTGGACCAGGCGTCCACAACAGCACCGAGAAGCAAATCCTCCATTTACAATTTCACATGCCTGATGATAGGAAGAATTTTCTACAGAATGGTTTCTGGCTCCTTGAATTTCAGGCCTGGTTTTCCTTCACCTTCTGCATGCTTTCTGTGCTGGGTGACACAGAGCATCTTCATATGGTGATACGAACTCTGGACCAGTATCTCTGAGTTACAATCCAGGCCAGTGGGCATGGGCAGCTGTAGGGTGTTCCTGAAAGCTGTCTTCTACACCAGGATGGCTGGCAATAACTTAACCATACTTTTAACCACATAGGTTTATCTCAGTAAACTCAAATTAAATGTATCTCCAACTTAACTTCCCCTAAGCTGGATCCCCCAAATACCCACAGCCTCTCCAATACCACTAAACATGAGAGAAAGAGGGATGGATGAGATTCATTGTAGAAAGAGAGGGCTTGGCTGCTTGCAGGTGAAATATGTTACTTTTGCAAATTTTGCACACATGACCGGTGAACATAGCGTTGGGGCCCCACCTGGGAACAAGCAAGGAGCCCGTGTACAGGAGAAACCCTGAAAACATTTTCTGAGTGCTATGGTCTGAATGTGTCCCCCGTGCCCAAATC